AACTAAAAATAAAATATACTTACAAAATCCAACCACTAAATTCCACATTCATATTTAAAATTCTTAGTAATTTAAGTATCATATACTTCAAAGTAAACTTGCTTAATTTATTTGGTTAGTTTATAAGTTTTTTTTATTCTAATAAGTTTGGTTTGATACAACGGAATTTTAAAAAAAAAAAAAATTCGAGATTTTCTCATAAGCTTCTTTGATAACTTTTCAAATAAGAAGGTTGAAATTTTTAATTCAGTCGGTTTATCAGCTAATTTTACAAAACTTATATCATATCAATTAGTTTTTCAGCCTAAGATCAAAATCCAGTGATAAGTAGTCATATGACTTATGTAGTTATCAATTAGGTTTACCAAATATAGTCTATTATAAGTTAGATAAGTGCTATAAGTACATAATATTGTACATAGGGGTGTACACAACACTCGCATTGAGTGAGACCTACCAAAAATAAAAAATCAAGTGGACATCACTCTATGTGAGTGTTATGTGCATCTTTATGTACATTTATTATGTACTTGTAGCATTTTCCTATAAGTTATCAGCTAACTCGTAGATATTAACTAGTTTAAACTATTGTTTATCAAACATAATCTTTTTGTGTGGGTATAATCTATATCTATATAATTACTAGCTGATGCATTTAATAAAACATTTAATAAAATCTATTTTCATTTCCCTCCAAAAGGAGTTACATTTTTTAATTAATTACTCATTAATCTGCTAAAACCGTTACACATTAATATATATATATTATTTATTTTTTTGATCAGTTACTAAATTAATTCTAAATTTGGTAGCAAAATATTCAAATGTGTAACGGCTAATGTTGGAACTTAAAGTTGATTGGCACATTTAGAGTTGTAACCGCTATATTCGGCTACATTGTTGGAAGAAAAATATGATTATCACATATTTTTTTTTCTAAAAAGAAGAAACACCAATAATTTTTTTTGTTCATGTTAATTTTCTTAATATATGCCACAAATATATAAATTATTTTATTCATGTTACTAATGTACACGTAACATGGTTAAAAATAAAATTTAAATCTCAATTAGTTTTGAATGATAAAAATAACTTCAGAAAAATTAATAATTTTTTATAATAGAAGTACATGTCTAATTAATAAATACAAACAAAAACGTGTTTATATATGTGCAAATGCACAGAATCAAATACTAGTATATATTAATATGTGAGGAGTTGTATTTGTTGGTTTATGGTGGTATTTTTAATGATTTAAAAGTCATAGTTGTCTATGTGCGGCACTTAATAACAATAAGTTATAAATAGACTACAAGGTGGACACTTGGAACCCTACCCAAAAAATTAATTGACAATTTTGCCATCCAAAGTTTGACTAATAATAAAACGTTAATATACGTTATATTATTAATTGGAGTTCACAATTTTGGTCACATGGGGGCCTTGATTTACACACAAACACACACACCCACATCCACATGGGTGTGTGTGAAATCAAGGGACCCTATAGGCTGACTGCAATGCCCGTATAGGCAGATTCAAATTTTCCCGTCGTTCAGCCTCAGCCTATAGTTGTCCTATTTGCAAGGTGATTAAGTTGTGAAAAAAAGTATAAAAACTGTATATTTGAATCATTGCCTTAGCCTAAATTTTGCTGCCTACTCTTATAACACAATGTTGTACTAATTAATATATACATATATATACATATATAAATATATATATACATGAAAGTTCGAATCATTGATCTCTAAGTATTTTTTAGATGTTTAATTTGAATTTGTGTTCCCCTATAATTACTAAAAGAATTGATAGAAAGTATATGAAAGAATTTGTGTTCCCCTATAATTACATGAAAGAATTGTCTCTGTGTGTGTGTGTGTGTGTGTGTCCTCAATATAAAGAGATGAAACTTTATGCTAGTTCATGTTCATTGGGGTTGAGCAAACATCATGCATTAAATTTAAAAATTTAGCTTTATTCTCATTTGTATTAATGTTCTTACCCAACAAAAATGCTAACTCATGAAGGAAAAATGTCAGATGGTACAAGACATGGGAAAAGTTCATACTTATATGGGCAATTTATTCATCGTTTTTTACGCCGATGGAGTTCGGATTCTTTAGGGGACTGCCGAAGAACCTCTTTGTTTTAGACATCGTCGGTCAAGTGGCTTTTCTTGTCGACATTATATTGCAATTTTTCTTGCCTTATAGAGACGGCCACTCCTACAAAATGGTCTACAGGCGTAACCTCATTTCTGTTCGGTACTTCTTTCCGTTTTTCGTCTTCCTTTTCTTTTTCTTAGTACTTCCATACTTATGTGTTAAGTGTTTATCTTTACTCTCTCTCTCTCTTTCTTCTTCATATTCTTATTCTCTTCCTTTTGTCCATTTTTTCCTATTGCAGCTATTTGAAGTCTCATTTTATTCCTGACCTTTTGGGTTGTATGCCTTGGGACATTATCTATAAGGTTTCTCTCTTAACCTTGATCTCGTTTTCATTAAACGTTTACGTGTTGATACTTTGTTCAAATGATTAATTATGCATGACCTCAAGTTTTAGCTATATAGCAACTAACATCACCACACTAAATTTAGGCTACCGGGAGAAAAGAAGAGGTGAGGTACCTTCTACTCATCAGGTTGACTCGTGTCCGGAAAGTGACCACATTTTTCCAGAGGCTGGAAAAGGACATCCGAATAAATTATCTTTTCACAAGGATATTAAAACTCATAGCTGTTGAACTCTATTGCACTCACACTGCAGCATGTATATTCTACTATTTGGCCACTACACTTCCCGAGGAGAAAGAAGGGTACACTTGGATCGGGAGTTTGAAGCTCGGTGATTATAGCTACGCGCACTTTAGGGATATTGATATCTGGAAAAGATACACAACCTCCATGTATTTTGCCATTGTAACTATGGCAACTGTGGGTAGAGTTCGAAAAACTTTCCAAATTCATTTGTGTATTTATTTATTTTTTTCCCCCTTGCATTCAAATTTTGGAGTTCAAATTGAAATTCGTGTATTTGTTACAGGATATGGAGATATACACGCAGTGAATCTGAGGGAGATGATATTCATCATGATATACGTCTCGTTCGACATGATACTTGGTGCATATTTGATTGGTAACATGACGGCACTTATCGTGAAGGGGTCGAAAACAGAGAGGTATAGAGACAGAATGACTGATCTCATCAAATATATGAACAGAAACAGATTGGGACGGGGCCTTCGTAATCAGATCAAAGGGCACTTGCGTTTGCAGTATGAGAGCAGTTACACAGATGCTGCTGTTCTTAATGATATTCCGATATCTATACGTGCTAAGGTAGGATAATGCAAAGAAAACTGAGGATATTTGTACAACTTTTGAATTAGGTAACTTGTGAAAGTGCTAAATGAAGCAATGGTAGTTTCGAGCTGAGCAAATTTGCCATGTTTTTATAGTTAAGAAAGTGAGCATTTTATATGACAAAGTTAATTAAATCTTGCAGATATCGCAGACACTGTATAAGTCGTACGTTGAGAATGTTACTCTTTTCAAGGATTGCTCGTCTGAGTTCATCAGCCAAATTGTAAGTTGGTTTTGTTTAGTTTAGAGTATTTTGATTTCCTATGACAAGAGCTGAGGATGCAAGATTGTCCTTGAGTTAATTTTACGAGTTACGCGTAAGCTTCTTCAAAAGATGTTATAAGCTGCTATATCTTTTTACATGTTTTGAGAACTCAAGAATGCAAAGGGATCTTAATTTGACAATATGGTGTGGAAATATATGGATAAAATAAGTAAAAAAAAAAAAAAAGCTTATAACATGTAACTGGTAACATTGTTGAAATATAGATAGTCAAGAGTAAAAGATGATTGTTCGAAATAAAAATGTTATTTTCAAACAAATTTGGATTAACTAAACAAAATCTATTGAACAATCAAGTGAAGAATTTATGCGTCGTATATAAGTTTATTCTAAATTATCATTCTGTCATTTATGCGTCAGGTAACTCGGGTGCATGAAGAATTTTTCCTCCCTGGAGAAGTAATAATTGAACAAGGAAATGCAGTGGATCAACTCTATTTTGTTTGTGATGGTGTTCTGGTAAATTATCTTTTTTTTTTGTATATATTAGTGTATTACTATTAGATTTTTGTAGTTATTGTCGTGCTTCGTGTTTTCTCCTCGGTTTTGCATCAAATCTATTTTAGTTTAAATGAGAAATTAACCAGTAAAAGTCATATTTGCAGGAAGAGGTTGTAATAAGTGCAGATGGATCAGAAGAAACAGTGTCTCTTCTCGAGCGGCACAGCTTATTTGGAGAGATTTCAATCCTATGCAACATACCTCAACCATACACCGTTCGAGTCTCCGAATTATGTAGGCTCCTGAGGATAGATAAACAGTCTTTCTCAAATATCCTCGAGATATATTTTCATGATGGACGTAAAGTCCTGACTAACTTGTTGGAGGTAATAACTCTATGAAGAGTTCCTTCAATAAAAATATATTTTTTATCGTTACATGTAACTATAGTTTGTGTACGTATTTGAAAATATAATGAATTAATGCCAGGAGAAAGAGTCTAGTATTCGTGTGAAGCAACTGGAGACAGATATCACTTTCCATATCGGGAAACAAGAAGCTGAGCTTGCTTTGAGAGTGAACAGTGCAGCATATTACGGTGATTTGTATCAACTGAAAAGTCTGATTCGCTCTGGAGCCGATCCAAATAAGAAAGATTATGATGGACGATTGGCCTTGGTATGTGTATGTATTTGAGTTTTTAGACCTTTATCGTGTGCCCTTTTTCAATTCGCTGTTGAAATATAATGTGCTCAACTAGGGGCCTATGTGTTCACTGCTGTTTAAACTCGTAAATTTACTATTCATCCGATAAATTACTATAAAGCTCGACGAAAATATAAATACCATCTAAACAATTCTGAATAATTTGAAGAGCATTTTTTTCGTGTCCGTCTCTGAATAATATTTATATGTTTTTCCGGCTTTCTGAGTATCATCCTCTCTGTTTCTCGCATTATTTGTATATTTTTTGTTCCTTTTTCAATAGCATCTTGCGGCATCAAAAGGGTACGAAGATATTACTTTATTCCTCATACAAGAAGGTGTAGACGTCAATGCTGAAGGTAAACTAACTAAATCTCCAAAACAACTGTTACTGCATAAATTTGAAACATAAACAGAAACTTTATTGCAGTGAATATATTTTCCGAACAGATAATTTTGGTAACACACCTTTACTCGAAGCCATCAAGAGCGGACATGACAGAGTTGCTTCTATACTGTACAAAGAAGGAGCATTATTGAAAATAGACAATGCGGGTAGCTTTTTGTGCACCACAGTCGAAAGAGGCGATTCGGATTTGCTAAGAAGGCTTTTGTCCAATGGGGTTGACCCAAACTCCCGAGACTATGACCGCCGGACCCCACTTCACATAGCTGCCTCTCAAGGATTGTATTTAATGGCAAAGTTGCTCATTGAAGCTGGGGCCAGCGTCTTCATTAAAGACAGGTCAAAATCCAAAATCCTCTTTTTTCCTTGCTTTCCTTTTATGTTTCTTATATAATCTATTATATTTGAACTTCAGTTACATGCATGATTCGGGTTCTGCTTTAGATTTCAACAAAAGCTGCATTAGTTTCTTTTACAAGCCGGTCATTTTATCGATCAATCGACAGTTACAGTTGAGTCAAAGCATTATTCGTCCGTGTATTGATTATTTCAGGTGGGGAAACACTCCAGTGGACGAAGGGCGAATTTGCGGAAATAAAAATATGATTCAACTTCTTGAAGATGCTAAGGTTGCACAATTATCCACATTTACTGATTCACCTCAACAAGTTACAGGTACCTTAAAACTATATTGAAAAATACGATTTTTTCAATATAGCATGCATGCTGTTAACTTCCATTATATATGCCGTTCGAACTGGGCATATATTTCGTGTTGTCTATAAACTTATCGGTTATTATTAGCAGATAAGTCGCATACGAAAAAGTGTACTGTTTTCCCTTTCCATCCATGGCATCCCAAGGAAGGCAGAAGAAAACACGGGGTCGTAATGTGGGTTCCTCGCACCATTGAAGAGCTTATACAGCAAGCCTCGAGACAGCTTGAGTTTCCAGACGGGTCGATCATTTTATCAGAAGACGGAGGCAAAATTTTGGAGGCGGATATGATTACGGATGGCCAGAAACTGTACATGATCAACGAAACAGATTAGAAAAAAGGGAAAACATATTAATGTCTAAAAACAACACACGTCTCATTTTGTAGAGCTGGCTTCGCTGTACATTGCTGTTCATATGTATCTTTGGGTGAGTTGATTGAAATAAGAACAAAACGGGTATATCTCAAACTGGTTATTTCTTTGTCATTTTAGAATCTGTTAACGTAATGTATGCTTTAAAACTGCAACACATCGACTATTATGTAAGGGTGAGCATAGTATGGTTCGGTTTAAAAGTAAGCCGAAATTTGAGATAATCAAAAGCCAATGGCCAAAACGTACATCAAAATCAAGACAGTTCGATTGAAGATCATCCGATTTCATTTTGGCTCGGCGTGACGATTTGGAGCTATCGAGACGGTTCTGATTGTTTCGTAATTGGGAAATTTTCTAAATTAGTCCGATGGGTGTAGGGCGTCTAATTTTTGGTCCCATTGAGATATAGAAAATCAAAATAGGTTTAGTATCTTACAAAATTAATCAAAATAAGGATTTTTTTTTTTGGCCTGAAAAGACACTTCACACATACGTATCTTATTTTTTGACATGTTGGCAAAAGTCAACATGCGACATTGTAAACATAGAAATTAAACGGGGCTAGCTAAGAATATTCACCCCCCCCCCCCTAAGAAATTCCCTATCACCAATCTCAGACTAGAACATGAGATCGAAAGTTAGTGAAAATGATGATCTCTGGGAAGAAAATTTTGATGATATTAACAAAGATTGCAATAATTCAGATAATGTTGATGAGTATGATGATGTGGTTATTGATGACCCTCAACTAGATGAGTCTAGGGTGTCTGATGAAGCGGGTGAGTCAAATGAACATGTATTCAACCCTACAGCTATTTTCAATCCAACTTTTGAATTAAACATGGTTTTTGGTACTATGCAGAATTTAATAAGGTAATTCAACCTCATGCAATTAGAACAAAAAGAAACATGAAGTTTACAAAGAATGACTGTAAATGGTATATGTTGAGTGTAAGGTCTACCGCTGCAAATTGAGAATCAATGCTCTTAAGAAAGCAAATTAACAAGGTTTTCACAATTTTAACATATTTTTCTGTTGACATTGGTCATCTAGGTTTTAATGTGAAGAATTTAAAAAGTAAATGGTTTAACTTTCTTTCTTGATCACAATGGTCATCCAGGGTTCACTATGAAGAATTTAATAAGTAAATTGGTGGGTGAAAAGTATCATGGGTGTTTTCAGGATGATCCTAAGAGAAATACAAAAGGGTGAAGGGTAGAAGTGATTAAAATACATGGGTTTGATGTGTCCAAGCAACAAGCAAATAGCGCTAAGAAGAGAGCTTTCTGTAGAGGGTGATCTTTATGTGTAATTGTCTAAGCTGTGGGATTATTTTGAAGAATTGAGGTACCACCAATCCTAGAATCATTATCATCCTTGACACTAACTCTTCAAATGGTGAAAATAGGTTCACTAAGTTCTACCGTTCTTTTTGTGCTTTGAAAAGGAGATTCAAAATGGGTTGCATGCCTATAATTAGTGTATATGGTTGTAGCTAAAAGGGCCCTCACATGGATATCTTTTCAAATCTTCTAAAAAATACTTAGATTTATCTAATGATGTCAAACCAATATCTTACAAATTAAAATAGTGAATTGCTAAACACAACCCCCTTTTTACTACCTACCGCCATCCTTGGACTGCTTTGCCCCTGCATTTTTTGAAAAACTCAAAAAAAAAAAATAAAAATATCCAGCCAGCCGGTATCATCGACCGACCGAATTATTGTGGCTGTGCACTGTTGCAGCCGGCTGGCAATTGCGGCCGTGTACGGTGGCGGCCAGTTTAGCCGGCCGACCGCGCCAATTTTATTTTTTATTTTTCCTTTTTTGGAAAAATATGACAGGGGAAAAATTGTCCAAAGGGGTGGTACGTACTAATAAGTGGGCGGTGAATAGTAAAACCATTAAAATATTATAATAATTTATAAAATTTGATTACAATTTAGGGATATTTACACGCATCCTGTGCGATTTAAAAATATTTACATTCCTACAATTAAGGATAAACAATAACATTCATACGAAATAGATATGTATTAATTGTGTTTATGCGTGACTTTATGTTACCAAAAGAAAACAAATTATGTTCCATTATTTTCGTAATGCATGCAACCAGAACACAAAAAAAAAAAAAAAA